AAAAATTTGGGAACTTAACATTCAAGTAAGATCATCATGCAATAATGTACCAAATGATAGAGCTATTCGAATAGAATAATTTTCTATTTCATGTCTTAATCCAAACCAAAAGAAATTGCTTGAAATGAAAAATAATTTTTGATCCATACATTGTGAAGCTCTCATCCATGGTTGATTTTGAAGATAAATTTGTCATGAAATTTTTAGTTAATTTCATGTACATTTGCCATTTATTAAGCTTAAATAGATTTAAAATTCATTTAATGGGAAACAACAAATTTACCATTAATGAAACTTGATAATTACATCCATACCAAGCCACTTAACATTTATCATCTTCCAAAATCAAATATGAAAAAAAATTAATTTACCCTTTTCCACTTTATCAAACACTTTTCTAAAAATTGCAATCTTGTCATTTTCATCAAACGGTTTAAATTGAACATGTAAATAAATTCTCAAATCCAATGATCTATATTTCTATCATTTTAAAAATGTTGAAATAATATATTTCTAAGCTTAATTTAATATCCTTCAAATTTCTATTCGATTCAATTTACCGAAATTTTATTGAACTTTAACACTTTCTAACTTTCAACACAAATTCAGAATCAAGAATCTGCTTCCCACCAAAACATCATTCTTAGGGGTGAACAATTCATTTATAGGCCAAAATACATGACTTTTGAAAATTATCCTTTTGGTCCCGAAACTTTTGAAAATTACCCTTTTAGTCCCTAAATGCTTCCTAACTTTATACTTTAACCACTAAACTTTCAATATTTACATTTTGGTCACTAACCAAAACTTGGTGTATTACACCAATAGTCCCCATTGTTTGTGGTCTGATCTACTATGGTCACCGATTTTTTTAGTTAAGTGTGTTTGGTCCCTAACGTTATCGATCCGTTCGGTTCAAGTCCCTCAGTCGTTAACTTTCGTTAACCCATTAACGAAAGCAAGAGTTGACAATTAATAAAAAAATCCATGTGTCTTCAAACGTTGAATCTTCTTCTTCTTTCCCCATAACCCGTTCTCATCAACACCTTTCTTCTTCTTCTTCCACCCATTCTCATCAACACTCTTACCCTTAAAAAAGTCCCACAACCCTTTATCATTAACATCCTTACCCTTAAAAAAATTACGGTAACTATGGAAGCATGGGGGTGGTCACTATCCCCACTTTCCCTCGAACCAGCACTTCATTCCAAAACTTTTTGTTGGCTATTGGAGTGTACGTCACCTGAAAAAAAGTGGGGCTACAAGCCGGTCTGTACTCGGGAAAGAGCCGACCGGACTTATAACGAACCCCACAAGTTGGCATTTTCATAGCTTCATTTATCCATAAAATGTTCAAACTAGAGTCTGATGACAGCATTCTCAAATGATACTGCTCAATCCCCTAGAAACTCACAGTTTGGGTGAGACATACAACTACAAACGTAATTGACAACACAAAAGTTATCTGCTCAGAATTCATCATGAGAACTTCCTTCTAGTGATGAAGAATGCTTTTGGTGTATTTTCCAAGAGGTAAGTTGTCGCCAATGATGCATGTAAAGCCGCGCCATATGGAAATACATCTTCATTAACTCTATAGTAGGGTGAATGCCCCGAATGAAATGGTCCCTGAATTTCATTCTTCATTCCAAGAAAGAAGAAAAGTCAGAATGCAAAGTCCTCTGCTCCCATCAAAACTCTTGCTTCTGCAATATTCTGAACACCCAACATTTTCTCTGCAACCTGTCTGAAATGTTCATGCAACTCTTTGTCGTTGAACACCACAGGGTATGTAGATTTCTCATCGAATGTCACTTTTGCAGTGCATCTATGTACACTTGCTTGCTTCGTAATAACCTACAACTTCACATTGAAGTTAACAACCAACACGAAATAAATGGAGAACGCCTCCAAAAGACCAATGCAGAAGGGGAAAAGATAAATGGAAAAGGAGTGGAATCATCTTAAGCTTCCAACAAGTAGTTCTTGTAATCAAGAAACAAAGTTAGGCAGATTGGATGTAGGAAACAAGAGGAGTACCTCCTCAATCCTATGTTTGAGTTGAACAAAGCTTTCTTTCGAAAATGCCCTAAAAGCGCCACCTATTGTAATAGAATCTGGAACGACGTTTAAATGCTCCACCGCCTTTAGCAATTGCTTCTTCGTACAATTTATTTTCCAGAATATCCTCATCAGAGCCTGGGATTCCACTGTTGGACAGGCTACTTACGTTTGTAAGCTTAAAGAAACTCTTCCTACTTTATCTGCTGCTCTTGATGAACTGAAGGCACAAAGGAATGACGTGCAAAACAAGGTTGATCTTGATGAACAACGACAACTGAGTGTTGAAACCAGATTTCCACCCTCATGCTGAGTGTTACGAGTTCCTGAGTGTTTTGCAAAGCAAGGTGGGGTTACGAGTTGAATCGGGAGGAATGGGATGAAACCAGAGTTCCTGAGTGTTGATGAAGAGAGTAAATAAATAGGGAAACAAGTGAGCAAAAGACTGAAGAAGTGTTGATGAACACGAGGATGAAGTGAATTTTTTTAAAACTTTTTAACTGACACATAATATTTATGTTAATGGCTTAACGGATATTAACGGTTGAGGGACTTAAATCGGACGAATCGATAACATTATGAGCAAATGCACTGAATTAAAAAAAACATGTGACCAAAGTTGATGAGACCGAAAACAATGGGGACTATTGACATAGTTTACCCTTTTTCTTTTTGAAGTTGTTTGCACTAAATCACAAGATTCAATCTATCGAAACCCCTAAAATCTCTAATCCTTTCTCGTCACTGACCACCGGCCGCCACCAATACCATTGACCTATCGAAACCCCAACATCACCGGCCGGCCAAAATCCTATCCTCGCCGACGTTGTTTATGAAACCATAAAGTTCCAGGTTTATTGGGCGAAGGAGGACAAGAGATAATATTGGATGAGAGAGGGTGACAAGATATCGTCTGGTTTTTTTTTTGAAAATAGAGAAAACAAATTAGTTTTTATGGATCAAAACAATGCTATTTTAGTCTAAAGTTGTATTATTTTTAGATGATATTGTTTTGATATAATTTGTTATGTCGTAATTTCAATAATTATTTAATGACAAATTAGATAAAACAAGAATAATTTAACAGTTAAAAACACCATTACCCTTTAAGTATATCATTTTTACCGAGTAGCCAAGTATTCTTCGAGACGTTTTACTCTTATAAAGTTTAAATTATCGTCTCATTTATCTAAAACCGTCAATTTCATTAAAATTTAAAAATTAATGATCAATCAAAACACTTTCACATTAAGTTTTATTTTTACTTTTTTATCTAATAAATGAAAATTAATTTAAAAATAAAATAATAACATGCCAAAATACCCCTCTCCCCCTTCACCTTTTCTCCCCATCTCAGTCTTAGAACCAGACTCAATATTGTTCTATCTCACACCTTTTAATTCCATTAATTTCAAAACTAAATCGAGTTAACTGCTCAAATACATGGGGAAAAACACCAAAAATTACTTTAAAAACAGATCAATAAACACCTAGAATAATTGAATTTGAAAGGCTAAAATCACCATCTTTCTTTCATTGCACATTGGAATCTGGACTAGAACCATAGGGAAAGTGGAAGCATCTTCTGGATTCAACAAAATCCATCGTGAAACAAAAGAATCAAAAACAGACGAGAGAATAACTGGATTCAACAAAACACAAATCAAAATTCAACAGAAGAATCAAAAACGAAAACTGGGTTTTTTTTCCCTAAAAAAATCATTGACATGGTAAATCACATCTACACAAGTAATCCATTGAACGAATTGATATCAATAGTAAAGCTATAGTAGTTTCTCTCGTTTCGTTTCTTCGCAATCCTCGAGTGAAACCAACCAAAATTAATATTTTGACAACTGCAGCATTGATAGACGTTGTCGATTCGGCATTGTCGACTGTGACGATCAACATCCCACCCACTGGTCAAAATAGTAAGGTTGAAAAATGGTGTTATCACGAAGCAGCAATAACGTAGTCGTTGGAAGAACCATCGTGTCCAATTTGCTTCCCCTTACCCTTTCTCTCCCCTTCCCACTCTTCTCTCTTCTGGGTGAGTTATGGATAATATGAGGGGGAAAAGGAAGAGCTTGATGAATTGAATGTGGGTTCTAGCAGAAGAAAAGAAGAAACTTGAAAGAATGGAGAGATCTGAGAGAAGGAGAACGAAAGGAAAGGAGAGAGATGGGGAAGAAATGGAAGAGAAAAGAGAAAAACGATTTGGAAGATAGATAGAAAAGATATTTGGAAGGCAAAGAGAGAAAGAAATAAAGAAAGGGAAGAGAGGAGTTTTGGGGTAGAGGGAAGAAGAAAATTTTAATGGAGGGTTTGACGGTGAGGGTGGGGTGGGGAAGAGGGGTATTTTAGTAACATTAGTTATTTTATTTTTAATTGATTTTTATTTATTTGGATAAAGAAAATAAAAAATAAAGAATGATGTGGTGTGCTTTGATTGGCCATTAATTTTTATTTTTAACCGAGTTGACTGTTTGAGACAAACAGGGTAACTATTTATAGTTAAATGGGTAAAACGTCTAAAAATATATTTTAGAAGATAATTCGGTACAAATGATATAGTTCAGGGGTAATTGTGCATTTAAGTCATAATTTCATAGTTTAATAATTTATTTATTTATTTTAAAATTTTTTATGACCAAAATAAAAGTGATGATAAAATTGAGTGCTGAAAGTTAGCATTTAGCCTTTAACTATTTTCTTAGAGACTAGCCGTTTGACACTCGCCTTAAATGGTAGAATATTTGCCAAAAAAGTAAACTGACAAATGAATAGCCTTTCCTAATGTTCCCTTTGCCCAAAACAAACAAAACTCACGTTTTCACCTAATACATAATTAAAATTCTAAACAAACTCCGATTAAAATTATTTAATCACGAAGAAGCTTCTCTTACAATTTCTTTTCTAAGAGAGGAGATTGAGAGATTGTTGCAACTTACAACCTTGCAAATAGAGGGCTGAGAGAGAGTGAGAGAGAGAGAGACAGAGAGAGAGCTCTTCGTTAGATCTGCTCTCTTTCAAGTCTTTTTGTTTCTATGTTCTAGACTCGGTCTCTGACTCAGTTCCACTCGCGCTGAACAAACTCGCTTCTGATTAGCTGAACTCTACGTGTAGACTGGTATTACTGGCTCTGTTTCTCCGCGTGTACTTGCATTTTGATTGGATTTCCGGCATCGGATCGAGCGGTCGATTGAATGACGAATTTCTTGTGGGATTTTCCGAACCTCAGGTGAGAGCCCGCGAATTCCGGCAGGTTTTGCGACAATGATGTTTAAGTCGGCGAGATGGAGGAGCGACAAGTACAGGACCAAAGCTGTGTTCAAATTGCAGTTTCATGCAACTCAAGTACTCTCATTCTTTCAAATTCTTCTTTATGTTTTTTAAACATTCATATCCATCTTACATTTTCCTGTAAATTTATTTATTTCCTCGTTTTTCTTTATTGGCTGAATTACTCGGAAAATGGAGCAAAAACTGAAAAAGAAAATTAATTTGAATTCTTCTAAGCTTTTGCTCGGTTAAAATGATTCTATTTCAAAAGATATATTTTTGTAATTTGATTGAATAAATTGAAGAATATTGAAGTATTAATAGTTTATGTGTAATCTAGGTTACACAATTGAATGCGCAAGCATTGATGATATCAGTTGTCCTTGGCGACGGAGGCAAACCGCGAACAATATTAGAAAAGGCGACGGTTCTAGACGGTAACTGTCGGTGGGAAAATCCGGTCTACGAGACCGTTAAATTTGCTCAGGATCCAAAGACACGAAAGATCAACGAAATAATCTACCATTTTATTTTATCAACAGTAAGATTTACATTTTTTTTACGATTCAGTTTTTCTCCTTGAATGAATGAATTCATGTTCTTTTACGTGTTTGATGTAGGGATTGGGAAAAGGAGGTTTGGTTGGGGAAGCTTCAATTGATTTTTCTGCTTTTGCTGAAGCAATTAAAACTTCCACCGTTTCTCTTCCTTTAAAGAAATCCAACTCTAAAGCAATTTTGCATGTTAGTATCTCTCACTCACACTTACTGTTACCATTTTTCTTGTTTATTTCTCATATTGATGGTTTAAAATCGAATTCAAACTGTTGGATTTGACCAGGTCTCAATACAGAGGCTGCAGGAAAATGTTGATCAAAGGTAAAGACCTGTCAATTTTTATTGATTTCTTGTAGTTATTGGATGTTGTTTCAGAGTCTGGAGCATTTTTTTTGGCGTCGACTATTTGTTTGAAAACTGTTGTAGAGAGGTGGAAAAAATTGAAGATGCAAGTATTAAAACGCAAGACTGTATCTTGAAGGATGATGAAAGTATTCAGAGCGATACCATTGAAGTAAGGCTCCTATCCCGTTTAGGGAAAGCGTTCATTTTCGGTTTTCTTGTTGCTGCTGTTAATCAGACTGTTTTCTTATGCTCTAACTTTTGGTCTCCTGATATATGGTTAGTATAAAAGCTGATTGAAAGAGGATTTGCATGTTTTACTTATTTCTTTGTTTATCATCTGTCTGACAGGATGTGCCTTTAAGCAAAGCCACCAACAATGTTGAATTGCATGGGAACCGCAGAGGATCGAGTGAATATGATATTACCATTTCAAGTTCTGGTAGCATCTCTGGATTTGACACTCCACGAGAACTTGGAATGAGAAACAACATCAATCACGACCCTCAGTTTCTGTCATCTATGAATAACTCCTCATTTACTCCTAAACCAACATCAACTGCCTCGACAGCAACATACGAGGAGCCTTCAGCAGGTTCTGATTTTGGAACGAGTACTGATGACTGTAACAATTCACAGGACACTTTTCCACGAGAAAACTCCCAACATGGTTCTGATAATGAGATTGAAAGGCTCAAGAACGAGCTCAAGGCTTTGACCAGACAAGTGGATGTGTCGGATATGGAATTGAAGGCCCTTAGAAAACGAATTGTAAAGGAGAGCAAAAGGGGACAGGATCTGTCAAGGGAAGTTGTTACTTTGAAAAGAGAGAAAGATGCACTCAAATTAGAGTGTGAGAAGCTGAAGGCCTTTGAGAAACAAATAGATGATGCAACAGTAAAAAGCAGGTTGGAGTTTGAGAGTGGAGACACATGGGTTCTTATCGAAGAAATCAGACAAGAGCTGAATTATGAGAAGGCATTGAATTCCGATCTTCAGTTACAACTGCAGAAGACACAGGAATCAAATGCTGAATTAATGCTTGCCGTACAAGTCCTAGAAGAAACGTTTGATGCAAAGAAGACGGATGTACCCGATCCTCCCAAGAAATCAGGATCCCATGGTAGTGCTGAGGAATTGGGAGTAACCATCTCGGGACGTCACTCGGATGAGGATGATGAGCAGAGGGAACTGCAACAACTTGTTAAAGCGCACAGAGACAATAAGGAAACCTCTTTCCTTGAACAAAAGATCATGGACCTCTACAGAGAGAGAGAGGTTTACAAGAGAGATAAAGATGAGCTAGAGGCACAAATGGAGCAGCTAGCACTTGACTATGAGTTACTGAAGCAGGAAAATCACGACATGTCCTACAAATTAGAGCAAAGGCAACTGCAAGATCAACTGAATATGCAGTACGAGTTCCCATCTTCCTTTGCTAACATAAATGAACATACCAAAATTGAGTGCTTGGAAAGTGAACTCGACAAGCAATCAAAAGAATTCTCGCAGTCCTTAAGTACCATTAACAAATTAGAAACCCACATCAAAAGTTTGGAGGAAGAGTTAGAAAAACAGGAACAAGTATTCGAAATGGATTTAGAAACTATCATACAAGCCAAAGTTGATCAGGAGCAAAGAGCTATCCGAGCTGAGGAAGCCTTATGTATGACAAGATGGAAGAATGCTAATATAGCTGAAAGTCTGCAGGAGGAATTTAAAAGTGTCTCTATGCAGATGGCCTTTACACTTGATGCACATGAGAAGTCGGCTACTAAAGCTCTGACCGAAGCAAGTGAACTACGCTTGCAGAACAATGAGCTAGAAGAATTGCTCAAGAAAGCTAAAGAAGAGCTCCAATCAGTTATAGAAAACTATGAGGCAAAACTCTGTAACCTTTCCAATCAAGTAAATTTAAAATCCAACCAGATAGAACAGATGTTGGAGGAAATTGATGACAAATCTAAGCAGCTTGAACATCAAAAGAAGCATGAGGAAGAAGTTAGTGGGGCTTTTTCCGAAGTGATCCGCAGCCTAAAAGCTGAGATTGGGAAGCTGACTATGGAAAGAAAATGCCTCCATGAACGAGCTCGACTGATAGAGAAGTTGGAAAAGAAGGAAGATAACATTACTGGCATGGAAAATAAGCTGAAAGAAAGCAATGAAAGAGCAGCAGTTTCTGACGGAACAAAAACTCCATTAGAGAATGACAAATCTCCCTTGGTATCTTACAGTCCTGCAGAAGTGGCAAGCCTAAGGGAGAAACTGATGTTGCTCGAGGTAATTTTCCACATTCGAGTTTTATCTAAAATCAAGTTCCTATTTGAAACTGTTTGTTGCAAATGGTTTAACAACTGTTTTCTAGTAACAAAATGGAGAATTTTTATCCATAATGATTTCTTTTTCTCATGGCAGGGACAAATAAAGTTAAAAGAAATTGCTTTAGAAACATCAACTAATGTCTTTCTGGAAATGGAGAAGAATCTTCATAAGAAAATTGACGAGTTAGAAAGCATAGTAGAAGAACTCGATGTGCACAGCACCAGTTTCTGCAAATACCAACTTCAGAAGGTCAGAAACATTGTACTATGGTTGGAAAGAATCTAAAGAACTCGTTTAAAGGAAAATCTGTAATATTAATGAAAAAAGTATTTTGAAGGATCATCACATAAGATGTTTCAAGTTCCAACATTTTATGGCATCAAGAATTGATGGTCATGCTGTACTATTAATTTATGACAGCAGTCTTGACCCTAACTATTGTAATATCTTTTATTACAGACAATTTTACCTCTAGCTTTGACATATATTTTCTTTTAAATGAATGCAAAATGCAGGCATGTAAAGATTCTATGGATACATCAAATGACATTATCTCAATGCCTTGTGTGAAGAGGTAAGACTTGAATATATAGAACTTTAGTTTCCGAGTCCGGTTTTTTGCACCTTTTCCGGTATTCTTCCTTGTAATAGTTAGTTGAGGACATAAATACTATGAAGAGTGTTGAAGAAACCAAAGAAAAGGGAAAGTTGTTAGAACTAAATTATAATAAATATGAAACCAAAAACCAATGAGATGTCAAATCATCAAGAATAATATACTAGATGTGGAAGCAGTACTGAATTAATCGATAGGTTGAAATCATTAGTATTTCTTTGGTTATGACTTCTAAGAAGATGGGTTCTCTCTTTTCGTAAAAACTCTCTGACAGGATAAGAGTAATAGAAGTTAACCTATTTCTTGGGGACCACATATGTAACATATTTAGTCACTTAATTTTGTGTCATACTTTATGATAACATTGTACACTATACATATATGCCCACAATTATGGATTTTAATCAAACATAAGTAACTAACAATTATTCCTATTTATATCTTATCTGCAGCAACGGTGACTGTTTTTCGGAGAAAGAACCAAAGACATCTATTGTCGATAAAGACGGTAACAGGGATGAGTTGATTGCTGAAGTAGCATCATTAAGGAAAAGAAACGAATCAATGCAAAAGGAATTGAAGGAAATGCAAGAACGATATTCTGAGATAAGCCTCAAATTTGCAGAGGTGGAAGGTGCGCGGCAGCAGCTCGTGATGACGGTGCGTACTCTTAAAAATGGCAAGAAGTGCTGAAACTTGAAGGTATTGAAATTCTTCCTATACAAAAGCAGAACGTATAGCTTGAAGTAGTAGCTGAGTGTGTGCCCACATGGAAAATTTAGGTGCTGGCAGTTTATGTTTAGAGCGAGTAAATTAAATTGTACAAAAATAGACGGTTCATTTTTAGCTTCCAAACGTAGTTAAGTTTTTTTTTACCATTCAGGCTGATTCTTGTTCTACCCCACAATTTCGTTTTTGTTGTCATGGTGACAATTTCGATTAATATAATTATTTCATATTTTTGACAAAGAAGCTATGGGTTGGCCGAATTTAAAACCATTTTTGTTTCTATTCATAAAGGCATTCACATTATTGGGTTTTGTCATTAAAATGCTGTGGTAGAGTCTGAATGTGGTCCTGGTCCTTTTGGATAAACCAGTTCTGGTCTGAGCTTGGTTTTATTATGTTCGATTGGCAATAGTTATGTTTTATTTGGCCGATTAGATATTATCTATTCAAAAATAAAAATTAACCTATTGACAATGCGCACACCTCTTACAATGCAGTTGCTCAAACCCAAACTATTTGGTAGGTTTAATAGTGTTTTTTTCTTTATTTTTTTGACAAGTTCTAAATCCAATCTTAATCTTACCTATAGTGGAGGGAAGTAGGACTAACGGGGAAGAAAGAAAAGTACTCTTAGTAAGTCTAGAATTTATCACATAAGAAAATATGAGAATAAAGATAAATAATTTGATCATTCGATCAAATGTGCTTAATCTAGTGATATTTTACTTAATATAACTAAAAGTGTCAATTGTATATAAATATTATGGACATGATTTGCATTCTTATATAATGTTATATTTATAGATTATAATGTAACGTTATACTAAGAAATTATGTATAACATAGGAGGATTTTTGGGCCCGAGCCTGTTTTGCGAGGTCTGATAAAAGAAGAGAGCTGCTGCTGAAAATTACATTCTGCTGTTTTAATTTCTGAAAATAATAATTTTGAAAGATCTACTCACAACCTATGTTGAATTAATCATGATGATGTCTTCTTCTTTAACAATGTAGGTTCCTACAAACCCAAGGCTGATACAAGAACCGGTATACATTCACTTGGACTATGTTGAAAAAAGGTGGCATGGTGCCGAAAGATAAACGTCCAGTGACCGACGTATGATGGAAAATAGTCAAAGGTATCTTGGCCCTTTACAAGTGTAAAGCTTATATAGTTTAATATCTGACAATATTCTAACTACCCAACTAACAATCATTATGAAAAATTAACAAATTCTTGTCTATATAATTATTTAAATCTAAAATCTCACGGAAAAAATCTTCTATTTTACCCCTAAAATCAGTTAATGGTTCATTTAAAACAAATATTTTTCAATGTAATCTTATTTGTGATTATAGAGGATTACAATAGTATATTGAAATTTAATATCTACATCTAACATTTGATTCTTTCTGTAATATACAAGTTGACAAGAACTAAGAAATAGACACCTCCCATAATGATTTCGTTAAGAAATGAAACCTTCAATATGGTCCATAAACGAAGCTTGTATTCCAGTTTCGATTCACAAAACATTCAATATGGTACATCAGCGATGAAATCTGCAATTTCCTTGGCCGACTCTTAATTGCATCAATGGCTTGCTTATTTTCCGATTAAATACAAATCGATTGTAACTCCATCCTCCATGTTAGAGATAGTCCTTTCAAAAATACCCCACAACTCCGCGTCCAGAGCCAAACATTTACCGATCGATTTGGAGAACCCGCCGACCCATTTCCCTTCATGATTTCGAATTGCCCCCCACAAGTTGCTGATCTGTCGCTATTTCGTCGTGCTCCATCAGTATTTATTTTAAAAACACCAACTTGAGCACGTTGCCATGGGACATTGCGATCCGCCTGATCCCTGCTAACATTCCTAGCTACCAGTCGGTCCCCCCATTCCCCGTGCAGCCCCCTAAAGCAAGCTGCCTGCTTTGGGATAGAATGCAATCTTCCACAACAAAACTTGCATCAAACATAACTCTGTTGCGCTATTCAACAGGCACCATATAATTGAACCAAAGTGGAGGTCCCAATCCATAGGATTATTAGGAAAATAATCATGCTGCAAAAGTGTAGATGCTCATTTTTGTCCGGAGGCTTCGTATCTAGTACACGATACAAATTTGGACCAGGGAAAGCCCAAATCAGCCCAAACAACATGTTATCCTAGCCTCCAGTCCACGTGAGTTCCTGCAAAACACAAACAAATATCCAGCGGGAAGGAGAGAAGCAGTTTTGATCGTGGGTGGGATACTAAACTGTAAGTCGGTTTTTTATTGGCAATTAACCTCCAGAAACGGAGAACACGAGGATCATAAAAAAAAAGGACAGAAAAAACAGAGAAGAAAAAAGAAGACAAACACAAAAGAGGGGGGGACATCAAAAAAATTACACAGAGGAGAGGAAGTGACAGAGAAAGAACAAAAAAAAAACAGGGGGAGATTTCTTGTATTCGGATTAGAGAGAAAACTGAAAGCAACAAGTGTAAGAGAATCTTTTAAGATCAATACAAAGAAATTTTCCAGATTTCCTTTTTCCTTTGGTTCGAAAGAAAACCATAGCACTCATTAAGGTATATATATATTTTTCTTCCGTTTCATTTTTCAGTGCTTTATATGTGTTTATGGTATGAATACGAGTAAGTAAATCACTAGAGAAAGAAAACCAAGTAGTTTACCTTGCCCTTGAGAAGAGACAAGGTAGGCTTTGAGTAAAGGTTTGTAGACGATGGTCTTGTTTCTCAGACAAAAAAAAAAAGAGAAAAATAGTGAAGATAGAAGAAAGTTGAGTTTAGGTTCGGTTCAGGGTCTAGTGTCGTACCTTGTGCGTTGTTTTCTTTCCTCATCGGAGCTTTTGAGGGCGAACCACGGTGGTTGTGTGGTTTGGCCGTGATAGTTGGGGGGGGGGGTAGTGTAACCCTTAGGTCCTGTTTTTTGTTGTGAGAGACTCAAAACTAAGGAGTTTAGGGTCATTAGAGGATGGAGGCCACGATAGCTTTGTGTTGTCTAGGGTTAGAGATGAATAAGGTTGAGAGAAAGGGATAGAGGAGTCTGAGAGTGAAGAACGGCGCTGGGGATCGGTTTAACATAAATGAGACTAGGGTTTAAGTTGCTCAGAATATTACACATATATTAGATCTTCAAAACGACAGCACTTTGGGAATGGTCGATTCGTGTGGGTTATTCAACACTTGGGTCATTTGAACTTTCAGTTTCATGCATTTTAATCCTTAAATCATTGTGTTCATGTTTCTAATTTTGTCTCTGTGTTCTATCCGAATTTAATATTAGTCCTTAATATGAATGTATTTAAATATTTATTGTTTAGACATTTCACTTTTAACTTTTCCATGTTTCGTTTCAGTCCCTAGGTCGAAGTTTACATGTTTCTGATTCTGTCTATTTATTTTATATTCATTTAATTTTTGTCCTAAATGTTGATGTGTTTGATTTCCGTTGTTTAGATATTAGACTTTAAAGTTTTTACATGTTTCATTTTAGTCCATGTTTAAGTTTCTTATGTGTATGTATGTATGATTAGTTAGGACTCGTTTAGGGTGTATGCTTATCCTAGGTTTGAATGATGGTGATAAGTGTGCATATGTAATTACATGGTTCATAAGCATGGATTTAGATGTAATATATTCTTTTATTTAATTGATCTTTGCATGACATCGTCTTTGCATAATGTACGATACCCTCATGAGCATAACTCGACAATATCACATAATTGGATTAAGGGTAATATACTTTTAATTTAAAATTGTTTTAAGTGGGCAGTCATAACTGATTTGAGGCCCACTTTTAATAATTTTAAATTAAAAGTGTATCCCGAAAGTGAAACAAAAAAAATTGATTTGTCACCTAAAATTTGGGAACGAAAGAAAATGAAATGTTCATTTATTTAAATTTATCGAGAAAATGTTGTTATAACTTTTAAGATCTGGTCTCGATATTTGTAAATAATCGAACATTCTTTATATTTCTAAAACGACTCGGTAATTTTAATTTAATTTATTTGAGTGCTTTTGAATGTTTTAAATTTACATTTTTGTTTTATGGGATCAAAAATCAAATTAAATTCGAATTTGTAAAGTTCATTGCAAAGACGTTAATTAATCAATTAGGTACCGATTTAGGGCGTTGTGGGGATGCTGATCCTTCCCCACACGTAACCGACTCTCGAACTCATTTTTTGGTAACGCATACCTCAATTTGTTGTTTTAATTAAAATTAATTTTTATTTAAAATAACAAATATTTTTGGGTGCCCAATCACACCCTAATCAAAGATTGGTGGCGACTCTTTGAACCGTATTTTTTTTATTGTAAAGAAAATCCAGAATTTTCGAAACGATAGTTTTTTAAAAATCGTATTTTTTTTTATAAAATCGATTGAACGAGATAAATTAATGTGGTTTTCAAAATCTCACCTTTTCACCTTTAAGAAAAAATCGTTTCGACAGCTTGGCGACTCTGCTGGGGATTTTTTTAGAGAGTCAGGCCGATAGTCAATTAATTAATTATCTTTGCAATTGAAAGTTATAAATTTGTTTTAATTTGGTTTTTGATCCCTTATTTGGTTTTTAATAAGTTTTGTTTGTATTTTGGTTTTTTTTTAATTTAATTCGATTAACAATTAAATAGTTGTACTGATATGTTTGCTAATGGTTTCAGATTATTTGTGAATTGAGAACTGATTTTTGAGTGCTTTTATTATGTGTTTTTTTGCTTTTCCTCACACACTGCACAGTTGTATTTTCATGACATGAGCTAAAACCCCGCTCCATCCTAATTAAGTAGGAGTGAGAGACTATGCCCTCGTGTGGTTTTCACCTCCGCATAGGATAGTGGATCGCTCCTGGAGCTCACGCTTTATGGTCCTCGTGATGGTATTCACCTCCGCACGGACATAAGGAGGTATGTTCCCTCGAAATTGAACTCGTTCCCCTAAAAACCTGTGATGGGCTAGGATTGAGGGTTCGGCAGCCCAAGGGGGCACCGGCAAGGACAATTCGAGAACCTATTACTTTAGAACCTAACCCGACATTTAGTGAACGTAGAGCCTGAACTTAGGTTAAACCAAACCCGAACCTTAAGGATCCCGTGAAGAGGGTACACAAGGAAAAGCTTTTTTGA